TCTCCACAAAGTTCAATTCTTAAAGAATTCTTCATGAAAACCGCTCAGCACCACTGGATAAATGTGCAGCTGTATTTGGTCACAACCATAGCTGTTTCTGCTATCTTTGTTTTTGCTGGTAATAGAGGTGTTTATCCTGAATCTCCTTTTATAATTTAAGTTAGAAACACAAAGTTTCTTTGTGTTTCCTGTTCCTTCATTCAGGCTTGATGTTTGATGTAAAATACACAAAACTCACAGGCAACTGCATTAATGGCTGTGGCACTGCCGGGGCAATCTGCATCTGTGCCCCCTGTGTTAATTAATTAATTAATACTGATTAATAACCATTTTGCTGATTCTGGGGTTGAGGACAAAGCAGATCCTCTTCCCTCCATCCAGATCCCTACACAGTGACAGATTCACAAAGTTTTCATGCTTCCACTTGTTCACCACCTAGACTCCGCAGGGAAGATGGAGGGAGGAGACCACTGTCCAAAGAACATCTTACCACTCCAGGAAACATTCAGGGGTTTGGGGTAGAATGGGGGTCAAAGACTTTGTCCTGACAACCCCAAGTCCTCATCTTGCTGGACCGGGGGCAGGACTTCTGTTTGTAGGTCTCAGGGCCCACAGTCCGGCCTTCCAATGGACTGAGGGATAGTGAACTGGCCCCCTGTTTAAAAAGTTTGAGGACTCCTGGCCTAGACTCTCACTGTTCTGAGATGGGTTTTTTAGGCTTCACTAAGGCCTAGATGAATTATTTTTAAATACTGTCAATGTCTGTCTCTAATTCTACACACATAGGAATCCTTCAGGACAATTATACAGTATCTTGGTTCAGCTGACAAATTGAAGCATTTTGGTACTTAAAGGGCACATCTATCATTACATATAAATGAAGTGCCATTTTGGTTTTGGCATCAGTTTGGGTCTAAGCCGCTTCACTTCTTGTCATACTGAAACAAAGGCTAAGGATGGGGGAGAGGCGTATCCAATGACTCTTGGTCCGGGGTGCTGGCTGGCCTCCATAGGGCAATGCTCTCTAGATACAGCGTAGTAAGTTAGTTTTAGTTCACCAGCCAACAGTTGGTAGTGGCTCCTCGTAGGATGTGATAAAACTTGTGAAGCTCAGGGAAAATAAGTACCATGATTGATTAGTCATGTCTGTAATGGATTAGGAACAGAAAGGGGTATGCGTAGATGGATGGGATAAGAGTATCTGCACTCCAAGTAATGTATTTTCATCATTTCTAATGAGCACATCTCCCTGCCCATTTATGCATCTTTGAAGTTGGGATGCATCTTGTAATCATGTGCTAGGTTGTATTTTCCAAATATAGCCACACTATTTCAAGTCTCACATGTCCTTCCAGAATCTAGCCAAGTCTCCGTCAAGAAACAGAATTTGTGAGGCAGGAGACTCGCTTGAGCCCAGGAATTGGAGGTTGCTGTGAGCTGTGATGCCATGGCATTCTACCTAGGGGGATGGCTTGAAGCTCTGTCTCAAAAAAAAAAAAAAAAAAAAAGAAACAGAATTTGTATCCTTTCTTCTTGAACTTAGGCAGGGGGATGTCTCTATGACTGCTTCTACTAATAGAGTGTGGTAAGTGATCAAAGTGAATTATGAAGCTAGGTTGTTACAAAACAAGACAGCTTCTGCCTGACCTTCTCTTTGGATGCTTGCCCTTGGAACCTGGCCACCAGGCTCTGAGGAAGCTCATGCCATGTGGTGAGGCCCCTGGTTCTCAGGTCTAGCTGAGGTTCCAGCCAACAGCCAGCACCAACTTGCAACTCCTGTGAGCAAGTGCCACCTTGGAAGCAGATCCACCAAACCTAAGCAGAGCCGCCTGCCTGAAGCTGTGTGGAGCACAGATGAACCTTCTCTGCTAAGCCCTGCCCAAACTGCAGATTCTCAGGGAAGTAAATGAACGTTACTGTTATAAGATACAAAGTGCTGCAGTGATCTGTCATATGGCATCAGACAACTGAAATAATCATGGTCAACCAGGAAACTGGTCATGACAATTTTCATTGCCTGAATGTGAACACCAAGACTTGTACAATAAGTATCAGTTAATTCAGAGAAAACCCTGAAGATGAGTGTGCCACATGTTTGAAAGAAATGCTGCAATCACCATGACTTATGTACAAAGGAAGGAAAATACTATCATGAAAAGCATGCACACTAATGACTCTGAAATCAAAGCGTGATCTGGAAGGATTGGGCTCTCAATAAGAAGAAATTTGAAGACTATCATACCAAATTTACTTTGCATGAATTTCATTTTGTAAGGGTGCACAGCAGGGATAGATAATGAAAAATATCTATGTCTAAATAAAATTAAAAGAACATTCAATTAATCTAACACACACACTAAGTGATAGCATTTATCACAGTTTCATTAGCAGCACACGTGCATCATAGCAGCATGACATAGTGGTATTAGCTAATCTTACAATCAATGACATCTTAGATTTAGTGCAATACAGG